TTTAATCTGCTTGTAGAATCTAAATGCAAAGTCCGCATTGCTAGGAGCTACTCGGAGAAAGGTGGTGTTTTCACTTCCGACATTGGCTCCGACTGGGCAAAGCTGCACTTTCTGACTATCCTTGTCATTGTGGTGGTCAGGTACATGATGAGGCTGGACCACAGTATGAAGGCCAGCAAGTAACAGACACAGAAAAAGGATGGATTTCATTTTGCTTTGCATCTATTCCCTTGAAAAACAGAAGAATGGAATAGTCATTGGTTGTGAATTGTTCCTCCCTCCCCCTGCTATTACTGATCCAATGGTTAATTTTCTCTTGCCCCTCATGGCAAATCTACTTACCTCATGTCAACTGGGAGATAATGAGGTGGAAAGATTCACAGGAGAGTCACAGGGGTTGGGAGCTCAGGCCATGTTGGAAATCAGGGAAAGAAATAAGGGTGGGATAGAAGGAGGTTCTAGGTTGAAATCTTCAGTTAGCACCATCCATCTTGGCCACTTTGACATCCCCCATACTAAAGGAGCAGTGTTTTTGGAGGGGGGAGACTATGAAAGGGATGAGGTGTGAGTAGGCTAGGAGATATTTTCTTCAGAATAGAAAGCCTCCGTTTCAATAATTCTAATGGTGCCCATCACATTTTAGAAAATCCCATGTATTTTTGGTGTAGTCAGACAATATCTTCAAGCACTAGATTAATGTAGAGCAGGGAGGGCATTAAGTAGCCCATGGGCCGGAATCAGTTTGCCAGAGTTGGCTTCTGGAGGGCTGCCAGGAGATTTATTTATCTGAGCTAGTACGGCTAGTCACAGCTCCTGTTGGCAGTGGTTCGCCTGTCCTGGCCAATGGGAGATGTAGGAAGCAGCGCCAGCCAGCCACCTCTTCCCACATCTCCCATTGGCCGGGAATAACAAACCATAGCCAGCAGGAGTTGTGAGTGGCCATACCTGTGGATGCTCAGGTAAATGGCTGACCCCGGCAGCTGCATCTGGCCCGTGGGCTGCAGACATTATGATCTAGACATTCGGTTCCCCAATTTTTTTTTAAATGCCTTCATTCAAAATCCATTTCTTCTAGAGCATCAGTTTCAGCTGGTTCACTGGGGTTGTCAAACAGGCTCCACTAACAAGATAAATTGTAACAGGTGTAGCAAACACAGGCACCCCTACTTGAATTAAATCCCATAAAATAAATTGTATCTCGAACAACTAATGTGAGTTCAAAGCCTCTTTTGAAAAATGATGATGTTACTTACTGTACACTCAGAAGGATTCTGCTGTGTGCATGTAATGAGCACTGCTCCTTGCCTGTTATTTATATTGCCTTAACAATATTAATCATAGTATCCACTATTAAACATTAAACAGAGCAAACAGAAGTTATTAGCAAGGACACAGAGCAAATAGTGATGAAATGTCTTTTCAGTCATGGAGGGTCAAATGCCTATGTCCACCCACATGTTTGGGAATAGAGCCAATATCTATGGTAGCCTGGGGACATATGGAGGGTACCAGTGGCTGGCTCTTTGCTTGCCTCACATCCCCAAACCTATGGAAATCTGTATGAAAAGATTTCATCAGGCCTGTATTTGGGGGGCTGCATGCGAAGGGCTGCGTGTTGAGTAGCTCTGGGGTACAGCTACACTGCACAGCTATTTTGGGATGCTGGAGGTATCCTGAAATAGCTAACCCACATCTTAACAAGCTTCCTGTTATTTCAAAATATTTTTTTAAATAGTGGGTGCTCTATTTCAGCAGCCCTGTGACCCTGTTCCATGAGAGTTAAGAAATGTCTCAAAATAGCACGTTATTTTGAAATTTGGTACTGTGCGGTTACGCCAAATTTCAAAATAATCTATTTCACAGTAGAATCCACAGGTTGACTGTTCATTGCATGAAGAAAAACTTCCTTTTTGTTTGTTTTAAATCTGCTACCTATTAATTTCATTTGGCGACCCCTAATTCTTGTGTTATGGGAACAAGCAAGTAACTTTTCCTTATTCACTTTCTCCATACCTGTCCATGATTTTATAGGTCTCTATCATATCCCCATTTAATCTCCTCTTTTCTAAGCTGAAAATTCCCAGTCTTTTTAATCAAAATATAAGTCCTAGGACTAGACAAGCCGGTTTAACATCATCTCTATTTTACCAACTTACTTTTGACACCTTCTGTACAGGTTCCCCAGTGATTCCAGAAAGATCAGCTTTATTAGTGAACACATTTATCACACCCGTTTTCTGAAACAGCTCTTTCAAATCATAGGTACCAGATACAGAGAATGCTGGAATGCACAATTGGATTTTTCTGTTAAAAAATAAAATTCTGGTAAAATATTGTCAAATCACTGGTGGTTAATTATTTGCAGTTTATAACTATTCCATTTGAGCATCTCGCATTTTAATGAATTTGCCTCTCAATGATTGCTAAGTAAATATTATTTGCCCATTTTACAGTTTGACTATCCGAGCCACAGAGAAATTACAATCCATGATTATAATTCAGTTTAGCTACCTATGGAGCTAATATAGTTGCTAGAATGTAGTTAAAAATAATTACAGTGCCTGGCTGAAAGCCAGTAGGGCAGTCATATGTGTAGTGCAGAGCAAGGTGTCTTCATATTTTTTGCTGAATATGTCTCAAGCTCATGATACTTGCACAGTATTTCAGCATCAGCTGGCAAGATGGTGAGGAGCGCACCCAATTCCTATGAGCCCTTTTGCTCACAGCCAGGATTCCCTGGATAAAGACATGAGCTGCAGAGTGTACAATTCTTTCTTTGGCCTGAGGAAGGTAGAATTGTTGGCAGTACAGAAAGCTTAAGTGTGCTGTCCTTTTTTAACAGTGGATACAGGAGTCATGGGCAGAGAGTCAGGGTATTCTCAGGATAACTGGAGAGAAAGGTACCAAAATAAACCCAAAATGAAGGCAGTGCCTCACAAGTGTCATAACACTTATGGGAGTGGTCTGGTGGGTAACCAGTCCTGAGTCCAGGAGTGACACTTAGTGTCTTCCACAGGTCTGAGGAATTTTTATTCATAGCAGGGATCCCCTGGGTATTAATCACACCCCGGTCCATAAAAATTACCTAAGGCTATGAGGCAGTGAGTCAACCAAGCCTCCGGCTAGACGTTTGGGCTCATTGAGAGTAGAGGCTGCAATGGGAGCCAGAAAACATCGTGTGGATTTGTGGTTGCAGCCATCCTGACAGAGGCCTGTGGAAGTCAAAATTCTCTGGAGGAGGAAAGGGACTGGCTCAACCATGACCCACTTGTAGGGGGTGGGCCTTGACATTTCCTGGCCCTTAAGCTGGCCTGAGCTTTACAAAGTATATAAAAGGCAAAGTGTTTGTTGTCTCCATAACATTGATACAGTCCAGAAGTTTGGCATCTGTGCTTCTCAGCCTCTGAGGGGCTTGAGTGGGCCTGGTCAAGGTGCAAGACTTCTGTGTCCTCAAATGGGGTGCACAGTTGAGGTGTCAGAGGCTCCAGGGACTGGGTCAATCAAGGTGCCACTTGGAAAAGCAGTTGTCAGTTATACAAGGTCAATGAAGTTATCGAGACAGGACAGTGGCAGATTACATGCTGTGGCCTCATTCCATTCAGTGTCCGCAGAGATACAATGCAATTCAGCACCATACTGGGCAGCTGATCGATGCCCTAGCTAGCCTTGGTAATTCTTCACATCCTCTGAAGTATGGGGCATGAGTCACAGCTTTAAATTATTGTCAGTGGTGGATTCTCTGTAGGTGAAGTCTTTAAATCACAAGTAACTCAGCCAGGGGTTAGGGGTCTGTTACAAGAGTCAGTGGGTTCTGCGGCCTGCAATGTGCAGGAGATCAGACTAGATGATCATGATGGTCCCTTCTACCTTAAGTCTATGAGCCTAAGAGAGTCGCTTCAGCAGTTTGGGTGTAGGTAGAGAGAGAGATACCAAAGATAACTGACTTGGCCTACATGCACTGCCCCAGGTGGCCCGGGAGGGGGCTGGATTGTTTCAAAAGGGGTAGGCTCAAGCTAAAGGCCTCTCTAATGAGTAGACTAATGATGAGTCCTACGTGGGCTGGTCTGTGGGAAACAGTTGCGGGCATAGGAAGAAAGGAACTGGCATTGGTTTGGCCCAGGAACAAAGCAAGAGTCAATAGCAGCAGGACAGAACCAGAATCATAAGCCAGAATCAAAGCTGGGGGGTGGAAGCCGGATGTCTGAGTCTTGAGAGGAACAGGAATGAGAACAGAGCAATAACAGGGGCTGGAAGCAGACTGGAGCATTAGTAAGTGGCATGATGTATAGCGGAGTGGGCAAATACCAGCCTGTGGGCTGGATCTGGTTCACCAGGGTTAGCTCCTAATGGGCTGCCATGATATTTACCTGTGCCTCCACAGGTACAGGAGATTGCAGCTCCACCACTATTGGGGCTGCTGCAGCAGCTGCAATCCCAGGCCTTTTAAATAGCCATTGGAGCCCCATGCAGTGTGCTCTAGGAGCCCCAGAAGGGCTATCTGGGGGAAGCTACCCCAAGCCCTGCCCCTTCTGACTGAGACCCTGTTGCTTATAGAGACACAGTACCAGGCCCCCTCACACCTTGCCCAGGGGTCTGGCAAGTCTTCCCACAGCCCTTTTAGGTGCTAAAATGAAAGTGCCCTATGTTAGACAGGTAGTGAGCACTTACAGCTCCTATTGACTATGTAAAAATAGGCAAATGTTCAGCATGCCTGCTAAAGAGGCCACTTTTTGCTCAAGAGACTAAATATGGTCTCTAACTAACTGCAGAGATTGAACATTGTGGCTATAACTTGTATGGAGAGACGTAACATAGTTAACAAGGGACCAGTCTTAAGTTGGGTGGATCTCATAGACCTAAAAATCTTGAGTGTCCCTCAATTTACAAAAAATCATTTTCTTTTTCTTAGACACCAATTAGAATCCCACAGCCTATAAGTAAGCCATGTACCCATGTGTAGAACATCTTACCTTTAAAGTAAATATCATTGATAAGAGTCATCACAGCGAATGGATCAAGACCAATTTTGCAATTTTCCCATGAGTTTTCTTCTCTATATAATCATTGATCTGTTTCTCGGCCCCTGAACATTCTGGAAGTTACTAGGAAAAACTTCTGCTTCATACAAGCTTTTGACATCATCTAGAAATTTCTGCCGTGGTCTCAGCTTCTCATCAACAAAAAGGGCATTTCCCAGGTTCAGTTGCATTTTACTGTCAGGACGGTTTAGCAAAACAATGAGATTGCAAAAACCATCATGTATCTCCTTCTCTTCAATCTCTGTCAGGTTAAAAGTGAGTCCTTTGTGAATCTGGTTTAGGGTGGCTGATTTAGCACCTAACACCAGCATTGCAAAGGCAGTGGAGATGCTCAGAGGAGAGAAGAAAACATTCTTCTCAACTGCATCTGAAGCAACTTGTTTATAGCGTTTAATGCAAAGTCAGCATTGCTAGGAGCTACTTTAATATAGGTCATGTTTTCAGTAGCCAGCTTGCCTTCAAACTAGGAAATCTGCACTGGGGCAGTTGTCTCTTTCTTACCATCCAAGTCACGGTTATGGCCATGCAGTTGGCGACAATGGACATTTAGCCCAACAAATAACAAACACAGAAAAAGGCTGAACTTCATTTACTTTCCAAGTTATCCTGATAAAAAGAATAGAGCAGCCATTAGATATACAGAATGCAGTTGTGAACATTCTTCATCATTCTCTTTAGAGGATGACAGCTGCTGTTTTGATTTCAAATGTTACTGTTTGGCCTCGGCTAGCTTTATAGCAACCAATACAATGAAAAACTTTTCCAGGGCTTCCTTGCAGCTCTCCAATTTCTCATCCCACCCTAGTTCCACTTCCATTTAACTTCATAAACCTCCAACCAATTAGAAAATTACTGAAAAAACAGGGGGTTAACTTATTGTAACATTACATGTGTGGGCATGTTTGGTCAGAATGGGTGCAGAAACATGAAAAGGAATAGGACAGGCAGGGATCTTTCAGGCCAAATATAGCTTAGGGGGAAAGACCCAGTCTGGACAGTTCTTATTGCCTAGCTCTATCTTTCAATACTCTTGTTTTAATGAATTTGTGAGGAGTCACACACTAGATGATGCTGTCCTTTCTATAGCAACACAGCTCTATTGATAGAGCCGGTGATAGACAGCTGTTGTGATAAGACCATTGCCTATCATGCTGAATACTGCTGCCCCGCTATTTGCTTATGCTCCCCCACCCATAGAATGGTATGGACCTGCTGTCTCCTGTTTTATACTTAGACCAGTGGTCTCCAAAGTTTTTAATCACAAGATCACTTTTTCAATTTAAGTGCAATATCAGATCTACCTCAAACCCAAATCTCCTTGCCCCACTTCCTTCCTGCCCCTTCTCTGAGGCCCTTCCCCTGCTCCACCCCTTCTCCAAGGCCTCACCCTGCTCATTCCACCCTCTTCCTCCCCAAATCTCACTCACTTTCACCAGGCTGGGGTAGGGGGTTGGGGTGCAGGCTCTGGTCTTGGGCCAAGGGGTTCAGAGTGTGGGAGGGACTCTGCACTTAGCCCAGGGTGGGAAATTGGGGTCCTGGAGTAAGTGTAAGGCAGCCATGTTTATTCCTGTTTAAGTGTAAGGCGGCCATGTAAATCCCTGCTTCATTAGCAATTTTGACGCGTGTAATCTACATCTCTCTGTCAACAGAGAAGTGTAGTCTAGACATAGCCCTGGAGTGGTGACTCCCTATCCCCATCCTACGTGACCATGACAAGATTGGGGGTTGAGTTCCCCAGGAATCCTGGGCTCAGACTTGTCAGGGTTGCAAGGACTCTGCCATGCAGGAGAGCAGAAGCAAAATACTCAAGGTCAGACAGGTCTCTAGCTAAAGGGAATTAGAGCAAGGACTCGGATCCTTTCTCCAGACAGTTCCACCAGAGTAGTGTATAAGCCAGGAAAGTTCCTCACAATAGTGGGACCAGCTTTCATGTGCTTAAGTCCCAGTCTGTGACCAGAGCTTGCTGGCACTACTGCAATATAAATCAAGACTACTAATAATAATTAATAAATTATTTCTGAAGTTTTAGAGTAAAATAATTATATTGCACCTGTGGATGCAGGAAATTTATTATTTCATAACAATCTTACCTGGCAAGAAATGGGACACTTCTGAATAAGCTGAAAGGACCTCTTAAATATCAGACATAAGAAAGTTTACTGTATATATTGGGTATACTGTATGTCTATACTGGACATACTTGGGCTGTAGAGACTCTGGCTCAAGATCATCCAGGCTATAAATCCAATGACATCAACACAAGTTTGTCCTAGGAGGTGCTGTCACTTTTCAGATTAAGGTACAGGCAGTCCCCGATTTATGCGGATCCGACTTATGTCGGATCCGTACTTACGAACGGGGCTTTTCTCGCCCCGGAGCTCACGGGCGGCGGGTCACCACCCGTGTCCTCCGGGGCGAGAAAAGCTTCTCCCGGTCTCCCTGGTCTGCTGGGGGGGGTCCAGCGGCTTTGCTGGACCCCCCCAGCAGACCAGGGGGACAGGAGCAAAGCCACGGAGCATGCCCGCAGGGGGACAGCCCAAGCTTCCTGGAATGAGCCGCTGATCAGTTTCAGCAGCAGCTGACTTGGGGACGCCTGGGTTTCTTAAGTTGAATCTGTATGTAAGTCAGAACTGGCATCCAGATTCAGCCGCGGTTGAAACTGATCAGTTTCAGCAGCGGCTGACGCCAGTTCCGACTTACATACAGATTCAACTTAAGAACAAACCTACAGTCCCTATCTTGTACGTAACCCGGGGACTGCCTGTACTAGAATTTAGGCTTTTGGCACCCAGCCTTTTTCATGTGCAACAAAATTCCATAAAGAGCACACAACCAAGAAAAGTGAAGCAGGAAGACTTAAGCCACATCTATGTTAGAATGTATAAAGACTTTCAATACCTCATATTCAATATACACTGAAGTGACACCTGCTTTGTCTATCTCATCAGCACGGCTGCTTGTCCTTAGTGCTGAATGATATCAAGTTCAATGTCCGCTATTAAACATTAAACAAATCCAGTAAGAAACACCTAGGAGCCTTCAGTGTAAATGCTGATGAAGCTTTTTGTGGTGAACATCCTAAGGTTATATTCCTACTACTCATCTGGGCAGTGGACACTGGAGCCAAGGTTGGGTAAATAGATATGAGGGACTCATGTGAAGGATTGTTTGCTGTTCATGTGCTCAAAGAAATCTGGCAGAACAAGAACTTTGACTTTTCCCCAGTAGGGAAGCTGAGAGGGACACCCCCAGCCAGTTGGTTGAAATACTAACTACAAATATCCTAATAAATCTTCTGGAAGCTTAATCAATGGTAAGATATAAGCAGCTTGGTTTCTGCAACGGAAACCCTGTCTCATTTAATAGCTCTTCCAGTTTTTGGAAACATTAATTTTTATAATGCTGGCTATTCTTGTTACCCATATAAGGGTATGTCTACACTACTAACTTAATTCGAACTAACAGACGTTCGTTCGAATTAACTTTGATAGGCGCTACACATGCAAACCGCTAGTTCGAACTTAATTCGAACTAGTGGAGCGCTTAATTCGAACTAGGTAAACCTCATTCTACGAGGACTAATGCCTAGTTCGAATTAACTAGTTCGAATTAAGGGCTGTGTAGCCACTTAATTCGAACTAGCGGGAGGCTAGCCCTCCCCAGCTTGCCCTGGTGGCCACTCTGGGCACCACCAGGGAAACTCTTCTGCCCCTCTCCCGGCCCCAGAGCCCTTAAAGGGCATGGGCTGGCTACGGTGCCCGTGCCAGGGGCAAGCCTGCCAGCACCCAGCCAGCAGACCCTGCACCTGGCACGGCTCGAGCTGGCCACCCGCTGCCCCCAAGTCCTCCGCCTCTTCCCGGGACCAGGCTGGCAGCTCCCGGGAGCCTGCCCAGGTCTGCAAGAGGCGGGCACCCGCCTGGTCTAGTGCAGACATCGTGGACCTCATCCACGACCTCCGCACTAGGCACAGGAAAGTGGCCGTCTAGGGCAGGTGAGCTGCCAGCCTGGCCACCCAGGAGCAGGTTGGCATGAAAATCAAGGTGGTCCACTGAGACCCCCGACCCTGAGCCCTGAGCTTAGAATGGCTGTACTGTGTTAGAAAGAGTCTGTGTGGAAGGACACAGCGAGCCTTTGAGGCAAACATTGTCTGCCAGAAACCCGGGGCCCACAAGTAGAAGCTTTGCCACAAACATATCTATCAGTGTCCCCCAAAAGGTTAAATTAGGGTCATTTATCCTGCAGGACACTTAACCCTTTCTAGCCCTACATCACAGCATGTCCTTTTGAAAAATTCTGAGTTTTATTTAAAAACTTCAAAGCACGGAGAATCACCTGCATCCCTAAGGAAATTGTTCCAAAGGCTTGTTACACTCATTGTTAATAAAATGCCTTATTTCTAGTCAAAGTTGCCTAACTTCAGCTTCAGTGTCAAGTCATTAGAACTAATTATACCTCGTGGAGTAGATTAAAAATGGCTTCTACTATTAGAAATCATCTTTCCATGTACGTGCTTATGATCAAGTCATCATTTAACTTTTTCTTTGCTAACCTAAATAGGTTGAGTTTTTGTAGGCTCTCAGGCCTGGCCTACGCTAAAGGGGAAAGTCGATTTAAGATATGCAACTCCAGCTGCATTAATTTCATAGCAGGCATCGATGTATCTTAAATTGTGGTTTTGGGCCATCCACGATTTCAGGAGGTTAATGGGAGCAACTGCTCCCATCGACTTCCCTTACTCCTCGTGAGGAGCAGGACTACGGCTCTTCACTAGATCCACTAATTCAAACTCCAGAAGGTTGATTGTGGCAGTGTTGATCTTCTACGTAGTGTAGACATGGCCTCATGTGAAGGAAGATTTTCCAGACTTTAACTTCTTATTATTTGAAGAGTTAAACTTTTGTATTTTATTTTCAATATTTTTACTTTACAACACCGCAAGGTGTTGGGCTGTTTCTGCAGAAGTGTGCTCTGTTCATATTTTCATAAGGGGATTTTAAAAATGTGCTTATTAGGACACACCAAATGTCCAGCCCAATGGTAAACTCCTAGTCCTTGCACAGTAGGTGTGTGCATGCCTGGTCAAGTATGGCTAAGACGATAGGTGGGGTAACCCCTGGTTGGAAGCTACTCTTATTTTTAAACCTTGCTATCAAGGGGATGGTATATAGCCACTGTATTTGGACCATTTGGCTTCACCAAAATATGCAAGCAATTGTCCGATACATGCAATAAAGCGCATTTTAAAAAATATTTTTCAAAATTATTTTTAAAATAGCTATGGATAAAAAGTTTGTTACTTTACGCAAAGATGTACCTTTTGCGTCTAATATATTTATAGAGTGTCTTCCTGATACCCTTTATGTCTATAGTAAGATTGAGTTAATTTCGTGCCTTTGCCTTTTTAATCTTGCCCCTATATACGTGTGTTGTTTGGTTATATTCATCCTTTGTAATTTGACCTAGTTTCTACTTTTTATATGACTCCTTTTAGCTTTTTAGATCATATAAGATCTACTGGTTGATCCAAGGTGGTCTTCTGCCATATTTTCTATCTTTCCTATGCAGTGGAATAGTTTGCTTTTGGGCTCTTAATAATGTCCCTTTAAAAAACTGCCAACTCGCTTAGGGTGCATCTACACAGCAGCATTATTTCAGAATAATGGCCGTTATTCGGAAATAACAATAATTTATTATGAATAAATTCAAAATAATTGATGGCTTATTCTGACTTCTGTAAACCTCATTCCATGAGGAATAACGCCTATTCCAAAATAACTATTTTAGAATAGAAGCAAGGGTGGATGCTCCACCCTTGCTATTTTGAAATAGCTTCTCTCCAGAGCCATTCAAAGTAATTTTGCTCCGGTGCCTCCTGGGGCTTTAAATCGAGGTAGCATGTCCACATTAGGGAAGCCTGCCTCAGACTATTTTGAGGCTTCCCTATGGTGTAGACATGTTATTTCGAAATAAGCTATTTCAGAGTATTTCTTCCGGAATAGCTTATTTCAAAATAAGTATGCAATGTAGACATACTCTTGGGCTTGCTTCCCATGGGACCTTATCTACCATCTCTCTGAGTTTACTAAAATTTGCCTTCTTGAAATCCATTGTCTCTATTTTGCTTTTCTCCCTTCTACCATTCCTTAGAATCATTTATTTTGAAATAATGTTAGTGTGGATGCTCTGTTGCTGCTACTTTGAAATAACTACTCCCCAGAGTAATTCAAAGTAATTACTCCCCACTGCTTCTTGGGGCTCTAGGTCAAGGTAGCATGTCCACAATAGTGAACCCTCCTCGACTAATTTCGAGGCTTCCCCAACCCTCCTCGACTAATTTCGAGGCTTCCCCATAGTATGGACACGCTATTTTGATTCTGTTATTTCAGGAGTTATTAAATCAATTTTAGTTATTTCAAAATAGTTTCCTAGTGTAGACATACCCTCATATATTAACCTAAAGGAAAAAGTAGTCCAACATTAGTAAGAGGAGGAAATACCAACATAGAAAAGGAAAAAATTTCCTACTGAATATGTGCCAAATATAACAGTGTCAGCATCCCGCTTAAGTGTATGTTGCAACAGTGCCCATTGGGGCTGTCAACTATATAATGATTTTAATAATAATGGGCCTGATATGGGAACAATGTTCAGTCAAACCTCATAGTGGTAACGGAGGCATCTTAGGTAATAAGAACATAAGAGCTGGCATACTTGGTCAAACAAAAGGTCCATCTAGCCCAGGATCCTGTCTTTTGACAGTGATCATTGATGACCCCAGAGGGAGTGAACAGAACAGGTAATCATCACATGATCCTTCCTATCACCCATTCCCAGTCTCTGACACACAGAGGCTATAGGTCCAATTCCTATCCATCCTGGCTAATAGCAATTGATGGATCTATCTGCATTCTCCACACCAGTCATGATTTTATAGACTTCTATCATATGCCCCCTTAGTCTCCTCTTTGCTATGCTGAAAAATCCCAGTTTTATTATTCTTTCCTCAAATTGCAGCTTTTCCAAACCCAAGTTATTTTTGTTGCCCTTTTCTGGACTTTTTTCAATGCCAAGATATCTTTTTTGAGAGAGGCAACCACATCTGCACACAGCATTCAAGATGTGGGCATACCATGTATTTACATAGAAGCAATAAGATATTCTCTCTTATTCTCTATCCCCAATCCCTTTTTTAATGATTCTTAACACTCTGTTTCATTTTTTGACTACTGCTGCACATTGAGTGGGTGTTTTCAGAGAACTATCCACAATGACTACAAGATCTCTCTCGAGTAGAAATAACTAATTTAATCCCCAACATTTTATACATATAGTTGGGATTGTTTTCCAATATGCATTACTTTGCATTTATTAACATTAAAATTCATCTGCCATTTTGTTGCCCAGTCACTTAGTTTTGTGAGATTCTTTTGAAGCTCTTCACAGTCTGCTTTGGACATAAATATCTTGAGCGGCTTAATGTCATCTGCAAATGTTGCCGCCTCACTGTTTACCCCTTTCTCTAGATCATTTTTGAATATCTTGAATAGGATTGGCCCCGTACAGAGCCCTGCGGGATACCATTAGTTACCTCGCTCCATTCTGAAAACTGACTATTTATTCCTATCCTTTGTTTCCTATCGTTTAACCAATTATTAATCCATGAGAGGATCTTCTCTCTTATCCCATGACAGCTTACTTTGCTTAAAAGCCTATGGTGAGGGACCTTGTCAAAGGCTTTCTGGAAATGAAAGTATACTATATCCACTGGATCCCCCTTGTCCATATTCATATTGACCCTCTCAAAGAACTCTAGTAGATTAATGAGGCTTGATTTCCCTTTACAGAAACCACGTTGACTTTCCCCCCAACAAATTATATTCATCTATGTAAGTAATCTAAGTAGTCTATATAATTAATTCTTAGTTTAAAGATCAGGTAACAGGAATCAGGGCGAGAGATGGAGCTGGGCAGCATAGAAGAGGGTGTGCCATATTGGGTAGCTATTTGGGGACTGCCGTCTCAACTCAAAGGGTATGTCTACACTACCCCGCTAGTTCGAACTAGCGGGGTAATGTAGGCATACCGCACTTGCAAATGAAGCCCGGGATTTGAATTGTCCTGCTTTGGGCAGGGGGCTGGACTCGATGACTCCTGAGGTCTCTACCCGCCTGGGGATTCTGTGATTCTATGAAGAGGCTGTAGGAAGGCGCCCGGTGGACCCACTACCCTGCATCCTCACTTGGGCCAAACTGGGGAGGTAATTGGATAAACACCTGGTGACTGACCAATTAACAAGGCGATTCAGCTCCTGATAAGAGGAAGGGGAAGGGCAGCTGTCCAGGAGGGAAGATCTCTCTATGCCTAGAGAGAAGGTAAAGGGGGAGAGCGGGACACACAAGGATCCGTACGGCACTTTTACAAAGCTGAACCTACTCAGGCGTGTGGGAAGACTGCCGGCAGTGAGGAATCCGGGACGGGGGAACCCCCGCCATGTGCCAGGCCTGAGCCAAAGCCCCTTGACATCTAAAGACTCTCTGGGTATGTCTACACTACCCTCCTAGTTCGAACTAGGAGGGTAGTGTAGACATACCCAAAGGTAGTACTAGTAAGGAGAGCTAAGGATAATTTCCTCCTTGGGGTATTTCAGAGAATGGATGGAAGATGTCAATGGGAGTAAAAAAGCAAGAGTGGAGGATATCTGGATATGGGAGGGCGAAGTTTCTTGTTGTAAAGCTTGCTTTACAGAGCTTGAATTAGTCTTGTAACTCCTTCTGTGCCTTTTGCAGTTTTCCAGTGTCTTTCACAAAATGGGACACAGTTCCAGAAGTTGAGTCTCAGCTGATATAATCAGGTGAAATCACCTCCCTGCTCCTGCTTGCTAGTCCCCTCCTAATATGCCCAACGATCACATTAGCCATGTTAGTTACAGCATCACAAGGGGAGCTCATAGATCCTTGTTATCCATGACCCTCAAAGTCCTTTTCAGGCTCATTGCTTTGAATACATCTTGTCAGAATGACTTATGTGCTTAGGTCTCCTGATTAGAGTCAAACCACAAGTGGTCAATGGAATGAGTGTGAGTAAAGTACAGGTTCAACCTCTATAGTCTGGACTTTCATAGTCTGGCAACATCTGTGGTTCGGCATCCCCATGGGTGCTCCAGGCTAGAACACCCTCAAAATAAGCTGGGCTTGCACACAGCAGCTCCTCCCCCATTCTTAGCTCATTTGCAGCCCTCAAAATCAGGGAGAGAAGGGTAAGTGTTGGGGTGGGGAGATGCTCGGGGGAAGAAGCTCCACCCCTCCCTGTACCTTCCCCCAAATGCCTCCCCAGTCTTCACTCAGCAACTGGTAACAGCAGAGGGGCCAACACTCACTGAATGAGGGCAGGGAAGTACTCGGGGGAAGAGACAGGGTGGCTGTAGAGCTCCATGGCCAGGGTTCAGTGTGCTCCTATGGGCCTGCATTCCTCAGCCACTCACCACTTCTCCCAAGCCTCCCTCCCCCAGTCCCCACTCGGTCAATGCTTCCACCCGAGTGGAGCCATGTAGCTGGTAGCAGCAGAGGGGCCAGCATGACACTCCTCGTCTCTCCCATTCCAGTAGATTCCCTGGTTCGGGACCAGTCAGGTCCCAAGAGTGCTGGACCAGGGTGGTACAACCTGTATTAAAATATGGTACCCTTAGCTGGCTGTTTACCTTGTTTTTCCAGGATGATGGGGGTAGGCTTAGCACTTAAAAAAAAATCTAAACCAACAGGCTTCTATGCTGTCAACAATGTGTTTGCACAGGTTGCTGTCTAGTGAATCAAGATATACCAGGCTGCCTGTAGATAAGGAGTTATCGCATTCCTTCTTTATTTGTTTGGGAATGTATATTAATCTCTATGTTTATATAGTTGCAAGCACCAGCTAGTGTGCAAGAGCCCGTTGGAATTTAACGAGCACTCAGCATGAGGGATACGACACTGATGAATTAATTTTCATTAGGGTTTACAATTTTCCCCAGGAAGAGCAAAAAGTCAGTGTTTCGATCAATAATCAATATCAGGAAGGGCCTGTTGATTCGCAAGACAGGAGGAAGAGATGTAGGGACCATTTCTGCAACAGTGACTGCTGCTGCTTCAGTGCCGTTCTCATGAACATTCAGCAAGGCCTTGTGAACAGCCTGCAAGGAAAGGAAGCAGAAGTTATAGTTGGAGTACAGAACAGTGGGCAGTGGCTGGAAATGAACATGAAAACTTTTTAAAGGAGAGCTCTTTGGAAAATCAGATGTTAAGATAAGAGTCTAATAAGAGCAGAACTGATGGAGCACAATGGAAGAAATACAACCAGCACTCCCAATGTGTTCATTAGGAGCTTTGCCTGTGTAAGTAAGGGCTTATCTAGACTATGCTAAAGTGTGGAAAGAGGATATGCATATTTCACAGGAATTTGCATATCTTCTTCTGATCTCACGAAAGTAGTTTGTACGTGGCTTTTTGGCGAATCCCTCCCCTCCTTTTTCGAAAAGTCACATAAACCTCATTTTTTGAGGAAGAGCAACTTTTCAAAAAAAGGGGGGGGGGAGCCGAAAAAGCCGCGTCCAGACTACTACATGGGTAGATGAATCAATAATAAAAGACTGAGCTGGAAGAATCAAATCCTCTGCATTCACACCACAAAGTGATTCTCCAATTCACTATTCCTCACCACACAAGAATAGGTTTGGAATCTGAAATAAGTGTCTAATGAAGAATTAGTTTACTGCAGAAACCTGGATCACATTCAGGAGGAATGATGACCTCAGAGGGCAAGAAACCAGCTTGCTAAGCTCCAGGTATCAGTTCACATTTCTATGTCCAAATATTGACTGATTTCTTTGAAAAGAAGTTCTGTAATTGGAACGCTGTGCATTGTCATTAATGTGACATAAATATATATATTCTTTGCCAATCTTAGTTTAAATTGCTGATCATTATGGGTTATTATCTTTCAGTTATTATATTTTAGTTGTCAGTAATGGTTAAACTCTTTTTCTGTGTATATAACCCACACACCTTCTGGTTGTGGAGTACTCACTCGTGTCTTCACAGCATCAGGAAATACTAAAAATTTACCAAAGTTAGATGTAGTGAGTGAAAGTTATCTGTAGTGAGCAAGTTATTGCTTCTTTCTAGGAAAGACCAGTAGTTTTGCTCCTGCCTACACTGATGACCATTGACCTCTATGGGAGCAAGGTTAGGTCATTTCAAATTCTAAAATATATTTTAGAGCATTGGGCCAAATCCAGTGCAATGCTGGTGGTGTAAAACGGAATCAGCTGATGGATGATTTCACTTGCATAAAGGAATCTCAGGACAATCTTCCCAGCCTGTGTCATAAGGTGCAAGTCTGGGGAATAGGAGGCATGACTAAAGTGCCTCTATGCCCAGTGATCCTTTGATACTGGAAGGGTCTTGGGAGCTCTCAGTAGCCAGCCTTATTTTAAACAGCCATAAGGCTGCTCTGCTTTATGACGAAGGATGTGATGAAGTCACTCTGGTCACCACTTTCAGGAATCTGTGGATTTTTTGCCATTTCTTTCAACTTTCCTTGGAGAGTGGTGACCTTACCCTTTAATTTTAACATTTCTATGGACTCTGCTGCTAGGTATCACAGACCATTAGTTCTGTTTGAGAAAGTCCTCTTTGAAATGAGGAAAGATAAAAGTGAACTTAAGGAACTGTTAAAGTTGCAGTCCTTGGTCACCTTGAATGTAGCCAACTGTCAATGCTCGGCTGCAGGGTCCATATACAAAGTTAGTTCACTTTGATCAACAGCTTCCGGTGAACAGTTTGTTAGTTGGCTTAGATTTAGTCCAGGGGTGGGCAATAATTTCTGATGGGAGGCCACTCCAAGAATTCGATAAGTGGTCAAAGACTGCTCTTTTCTGCGATGTTACTGGGGTGGAGCGGGATCTGAGATGGAGCTTCGGTGCAGAAAGGAGCTTGGGGTCTGGAAGGGAATTTGGATAATGGGGGTTGTGACCTGGGGCTAGAGATTTGGGGGCAGGAAGGAATGCAGGTCTGGGAGGGGGTTATGATCTGGGCAGGGGATTCGGGTGCAAGAAGGAGTATGGGATCTGGGAAGGGATATGACCAGGAGCAGCGGTTTGGGTTGTGACCTGGGACAGGAGTGCAGGAGAGGGTGCAGAGAATTGGCATTGTGACCTGGGGCAGACGGTTGAGGTGTAGGAGAGGGTGGGGTTCCAGGGGCAGGTACTAGCCATGAGCCCAGTAGGACCCTCCTGCAGGCTTTCTGACTGTTGTATCCTCTCCTCCCCCCACCACATACTGCACAAAGCAGCCAGCTGCTGCATTTCCATGCAGTGCACCCTTTGGAGGAATATGGGGCTCTGCAAGCTGCCTGACGCTACAAGCATAGCCTAGGCATTTCCTATTGGCCAGTTTCCAAAGGGTATGCCCTGTGCAGAGATGCACATGCTGGCCCCAGCAGCTGGCCCCTGCCTGAGGGTCCCAAAGGGCTGCAGGACGTTGCTGGCCCAGAGGATCATGATAGGCCAGATCTGAATGTTTGGTGCCCTCAGACTTTATCTTACCCTCATCTAGTCCCATTTCAAAGCGGACTACCTATGGATCAAAGTGAACTTAATAAACTTACTGTGCATCAGGAGGGTCCATATTTTTGCTGTGACCATATGGCAAAATTGTATGTTTTACCATAACTATCCTATAACTTATTCATCATTTTACCATGAAAAAATTGGATCCATATTTGTGGCCTCTTTACCAGCCTCATGGTTATGAATGTTTAAAGACAGTATGAGAGTAATCATGAGTGCACTGAACTGAACATAACTTAGACACTGTCCAGAGTCAGGGTGATTGGTGCAGACAAATCCATTTAAATCAAACTTATTAAACAAACTTACTTTTGAAATCTTCAGATTGTGATCTTCAGTGATTCCAGACAGATCAGCATGGTCCTCGAATACAGCAGTCACACCCATTCTCTTAAATATCTCTTCGATGTCATAGAAGGCCGAAATAGAAAATTTTGGAATGTACAGTTCTATTCTTCTGTTAAGGGCAATAAAAATGATGATAAAATATTGAATTCTGGTAACAGTGTGAAGTACCTGCTAAACAGCGATGCCTGAAATACTCCTGGGGAAATCTAAAATGTCAACTTGAATTTTTTGCATTCTTTTGGGAGCAAAAACAGGCCCCAGCTCTCACGACTGTAGCGAAACCCTCTTCTACACAACTGGCAACATTTCTCTGTGAAGTGGGAGGCTGAATTGGAAGGGCCGTGTACCAATGTGATGTCTCTCTATAGTAAGCACCCCCTCTTGGTGCAAATTCACTTTGCAACAGGACGCAGAGGACTGGGTTGCTCCTGAGGTGCAGCATCTGGGATAGAGGGACGTCCTACTGCCTGGATTCTCCTGTTCCTCACCCTTTGTGGGGGCACATAAGAGCTTACTGAGCTTGTCTGCCACTGGCCTGAAACGTGTTTCTATGGAACGGTTTGGTGTTTCTATGGAGGAAAGAGACATTCTATCTACCTGCCCCTTTCTTGTCTGCTCAGCCTCAAGTCCTGTCGAGTCTGCTACTAGTCTTTGGAATAATACACTTGATTGAGGATCAGCTATCCACTGAAGAGATGAGCTTTCCCATAATCTATTTGTTCATTCTTCCGGGCAGCAAGAACACTTTGAGAAAAGTCTCCTTTCTTTACAAAACATAATTTCAGTTCCATAAGGCTGCCTCAGTAGATTCATTCAACAGTTTGTGGCAAGGAATCTAAAGGAGTTGAAGATGGGGGAGGGGAGGACATTTTGGGCATCTTCTCTGTTCCCCTCGCCCTGCTCCCTGACAATGCATGTTTCTGCCGAACAGATTGAGTTCTTTGTCTAGCCCAGTTCTAAATCTTGTGGAATTTGTCATGTCCTGAGCGAGACCCTTCCACAGGCTTCATTTTCCTTTGCTTGAGTTCATTCCCAATTATTTTCCTTTACTTATCACCCCTAACTATGGCCTATTACTTATTGCTATAGCCACTGAATCAGCAACAAAGCTCCATTGATTTTAATGATGCAGGATCAGATCCTGTGTCACTAAGCCCAGGGCAGGGAAGGTAGCCTGTCAAACATTTTCCGCCTGCCTTCCATAACCCTCCAGGCCAGGGCTGGAAGAAATTATTTTGTGGTTCCTGCTGCAGCCCCAGCCACACCACTCTTGGAAGCAACATGGCTGGAGGTTGCAGGCAAGCATGTCTCTGTGTGCCCCTTGTGGGGAGGAGGGCAGCAAGTCTCCATGGGCTGCCCCTGCCCCCCAGCACCATCGGGGAGGGGAGTTACAGGCAGCTCATGGAGACATACTGACCCCCCCATCCCAAAGTGGCGCCCAGAGACATGCTTGCCAGCAACAGCCAGCAGCTTTGAGTGGCGTGAGGCCACCAGGGCATGAAGGCAGCCTGAGTGCTCTGCAGCCTTGGTGGCCATGAGCTGTCTATGGTAAGCACCTCCTGGCCAGAGTCAGAGCCTGCATCTGGCACCCCCGTCTGCACCCCAAACTCATGCCGTCACTAAACAATTCCTGTCTCTACCCAATGTTGTTCTGCAAATAACTGCATGCCAGGTTTGCAAAATGCTATCTCTCTGCTAGCTCAGAACAATGAAATGTGGGCTGTGCAAGTACAATGTCAACATCAGCATCATGATCAATGGTGAACCAGTGGGAATTTGTATCCGGTCCAATATATTTCCACAGGTATTTGCAATGCTGTCATACACAAGTTTTATCTGAGCCTGCCTCAGACTAATTTTCAGGCATCCTTGTAATGTGGATGCTCTATTTTGAAATAAGCTATTTCGAAATACATCTTCCAGAATAGCTTATTCCAAAATAGAGCATCCACACTACAAGGAAGCCTGAAAATTAGTCTGAGGCAGGCTCAGATAAATCTTGTGTACCCTTAGTCAACATTTGGCTTCATTGTGCATATTTATACATTTCCTCTTCAAATTCATCTCCCCAATCACTGGCTGGTTTTCTTTACTTCTCTGATTTCCCAAGACGAAGGGTACGTCTACACTACAGCACTAATTCGAACTAACTTAGTTCGAATTAGTTAATTCGAACTAACGCGTCTAGCACTAAAAACTAGTTCGAATTAGCGTTTTGCTAATTCGAACAAGCGCGTCCACATTAAGTGGACCCTGAATTAGGCTTAAGGATGGCCGGAAGCAGTGCCGGCAGGGCATCAGAGGAGGACTTAGAGCGTGGAGATGCTGTCTCGGGCTAGCCGAGAGCTGTGCTTAAAGGGTCCCGACCCCCACCCCGGACAGACCGTTCTCAGGGGTTCCCTGCTTGCAAACCAGTCCTGGCTTGGATTGCCTGGAGTACCCACATTGGGCACATCACACCACTCGGCCATAAGCCCGGCTGCACTTGCCGCAGGCTGCTATCTGGGGAGAGGGGGCAATTGGGGGGCTGCAGGAGAGCTTCCACCCCCAGAAGCCCGCAGAGCTAGCCCAGTCCTCCCCATCGGGGGTTCGTACCCCATTCCTCCCTCACCTCCTTCCACTTACCCTTCCCTAGCCCCTTTTCTTGATGTACAAAATAAAGGACAATTGTGTTCAAAAATGGAATCTGTCTTTATTGAACAAAACTGGGGGAGACTGGGAAAAGGAGGTGGGAGAGGGGAAGAGAGAGGCTGGGAGAGGGGAGGGCAACTACAATGATCAGGGGTTGGGAACAGGTCCCATATGAAGAGAGGCTAAAGAGACTGG